ATAGATATTGACTCAAGTGGACCCTTGGCAGCTGCAGACACCCATGAAATTCCAATAGGAACCCGTGAAATTCCAATAGGAACCAATGAAATTCCAGTAGGAACCTGTGAAATTCCAATAAGAACCAATGAAATTCCAGTAGTAACCTGTGAAATTCCAATAGGAACCCATGACATTCCAGTAGGAACCTATGAAATTCCAGAAGGAGCCCATGAAATTCCAGTAGGAACCTGTGAAATTCCAATAGGAACCTGTGAAATTCCAGTAGGAACCCATGAAATTCCAATAGGAACCTGTGAAATTCCAGCAGGAACCCATGAAATTCCAATAGGAACCCGTGAAATTCCAACAGGAACCTGTGAAATTCCAACAGGAACCCGTGAAATTCCAACAGGAACCTGTGAAATTCCAATAGGAACCCATGAAATTCCAATAGGAACCCATGAAATTCCAGTAGGAACCCGTGAAATTCCAGTAGGGACGTGTGAAATTCCAGAAGGAACCCTCCAAACTCTTAGCCCCAGGAGGTACCTGCCAGCACTTCCACCTGCACCATCCTCAGGCTCTTTGTTTGGCCCAGGAAATCCGTTCTGCACTGGTACAGCCCCGCGTCCTCCTTGCGCAGGCGCCTCATGGTGACGGTCAGGAGCCCGGCGCGGGCGTTGTCCCTGATGGAGGTGGTGCCCCTCCTGTTCCCGGGGAAGGGCAGCCACGCGGGCGGGGCGCCCACCACGTGCTGGCACCGGCTCTGGTCCAGCTGCCTGCACCAGCTCTTCTCCCGCCACCACTGCCGCGGGTCGTAGGAGCAGTTGACAGAAATGGTGTCCCCCTCCATGGCGGCCACCACGGTGACGTTCTCTGCAGCACAGGATGCTACGAGGACAGAGGGACAGAGGGAGGGGTGAGACAAGGTTCTTCCATGTCTATCCCTCATTGTGGGAATGCTGAACATAATTTTCATCGTCTAGTGATGTAGGGCTGTCACCTGTAGGACTGTCACCCATAGGGATGTCACCTGTAGAGTTGTCACCCATAGGGATGAAACCTCTAGGTCTCTCACCCATAGGGATGTCACCTGTAGAGCTGTCACCCACAGGGCTGACACCTATAGGTCTCTCACCCATAGAGATGTCACCTGTAGAGTTGTCACCCACAGGGCTGACACCTATAGGTCTCTCACCCATAGAGATGCCACCTGTAGAGTTGTCACCCACAGGGCTGACACCTATAGGTCTCTCACCCATAGAGATGTCACCTGTAGAGTTGTCACCCACAGGGCTGACACCTATAGATCTCTCACCCATAGAGATGCCACCTGTAGAGTTGTCACCCACAGGGCTGACACCTATAGGTCTCTCACCCATAGAGATGTCACCTGTAGAGTTGTCACCCACAGGGCTGACACCTATAGGTCTCTCACCCATAGAGATGTCACCTGTAGAGTTGTCACCCACAGGGCTGACACCTATAGATCTCTCACCCATAGAGATGCCACCTGTAGAGTTGTCACCCACAGGGCTGACACCTATAGGTCTCTCACCCATAGAGATGTCACCTGTAGAGTTGTCACCCACAGGGCTGACACCTATAGGACTCTCACCCATGTCACCTATGGGGCTGTCAACTGTAGGACTGTCACTTATGAGGCTGTCACCCTCAGGGCTGTCACCTGTAGGATGTCACCTGTCCACTTTCACCATGACCAACCCACTGTACTCAGATCTTGGCTCAAATATTCTGGAATTTGTCCCAGTGACAGCTCCAAACCAGTATCCTACTCACTGGTTCCTTCTGAATCCCAGTTATCAAATCCAGTTTAACTTTTTTTTCTACCCTATCTTTTAATATCTTACTAATTTTAACCATGTTGACAACTGGTCTTTGCTTGACTTTTTTTTTTTTTTTTTATTGTCTTGGTTCCTCATTTCTAATTTCCATTCCTCTTTGTGACAGGCAGAGGGGACAGTCTGAGCTATTAATACTTCCAGAGAGAAGTGCAGTGTGGTATTTGTGGAAATCTCTATTTCTAGTGAAAAAAAAGTCACAGGAAAATGCTTCTGTGAGACCATAAGTAACGATAAAACAAAAGTAAATTTTAAAATAGATTCTTGTGAGGACTTTGTGCTGGCTGAGCCTTTTAATAACACTTCTTACAATAATTTCAACAATCCTAAGTGAATTGTAAACGAAAAACCATGAAGTTCTTTCAGCTTGACTTGAAGAAGACCTAAAATGGATCTGTCCTCTGCAATCCAACACCTACAGGGCTTTATCCTGATGTGTTGCTCCCCTTGGTTGTTCCAGTCAGAGTTTACCTCATGGAATATCCAGTCCAGTCCTGTTCAATCCCTCCAAAACTCTTTAACTGCTTCTCCCATTTCCCCTTCCTTCCTCCAGCTCTGCCCCTTCCATCCCAGAATTCCAACAGCACTGCAAAACATCTCTCAAACAGAATCACTGAAAGATTCCCTGATGTCCCTCTGGAAAATGTTGTGTTATTCTCTTTTCAACCAATTTTGCTGACAGATCATAAACTGTTGGTGTTCCTCCTCTCTTCCTGGGTGCCACTGGGCAAAGTGCAGTGAACTTTTCCCAAACTCATCCCAATTTTTGGGACAGGTTCCAGTGCTCCCACAGCCTGAGTCTGTTGCCTTTCCCTGCACTGCTGAGGGTCTGGACTCCCCAAAGCGCTGCAGAGAGCCCCAGCTGGGCCCTGTACCTCGGTTCTCATTTCAGCTGGACATTCCTTTCCAAGCTAGGAAACCCAGGTGTCTGGGATTTCAGAGCTGTGCCCTTCACTGGGTTTTATTTCCCTGCCCCTGAGCACCACCTGTGATCATTTGCATCTATGTAAATCCCATTTGCTAATGCAAACAACCCAGGATTTTGCAATTTCACATTGCACACAGGACTTCCCTCATCAGTGGTTCCTGTTCTCACTCTAAATGACTCCTGTGAGGAAATCTGGGAGCACTGGGATCACCCTTTGATGGGTGACCCTTTGCTAAAAAAAGGGAAAACTCTGAGATGGAGCCTTCAGACAGAGACAAAGCTTTGCCCCAATCCTTCCCCCTTTACCTGAGCCCAAAGCCACGTGTGGTTCTTACCTGACAGGAAGACCAAGGTGAGGTGCAGGAGCTTCTCCATGGGGCTGAGAAGAGAAGGAGCAGGAGAGGAGCTGGAGAGGAGAGAGCCAGCTCAGCCCATGGGCAGCTCCTCTCCCACTCCTTGCTGTGCCGGAAGGAAGGAGCACAGGAACTTGGCATCTTTTTCATCCTGCACATTGAGCAATTCTCCAGGGACAGGCACTGCCCTCGTGGGCTGAAAATCCAGGCATCAGCACTGCCCAGTCCCAGCCACAGCTCAGGCAGCCTGGAAGGGAGCAGCACGTGGTGGCCTGAAGCCACAGGCTGGGTGTCTGCTCCCACTGGAGCAGGATTTCATGGAATCATGGAATCACAGAATGGTTTGGGTTGGAGGGACCTCAAAGCTCACCCAGCTCCACCCCTGCCATGGGCAGGGACACCTTTCACTACCCCAGGCTGCTCCAAGCCCTGTCCAAACTGGCCTTGGACACTTTCAGAGATCCAGAGGCAGCCATAACTTCTCTGGGCACCCTGTGCCAGGGCCTGCCCACCGTCCCAGGGAAGAATTCCTTCCCAATATCCCTGTGGTAGTGGAAAGCCATTCCCTTTTGCTGGCACTCCAAGCACAAGGGTGACAAATCATGATAAATTATTTACAGGAGCTGTGCATGGGGGGAATTTCTGGAAAGCTGAAAGGGAGGCTGTCCTGGTAGCTCTGACAGCATCCTGAGGGTGGAGGAGGACAAGGACATCATCCCCTGCGTTTCCAGGAGAAAGAAGAGCCTGTGCATGGAACATCCTTGTCTGAAACCCAACCACACAGAGCAGGGCAGGGACACTGCTCTGGGAGAAGCTGTGGGTGCTTTAAAGAAGCCCAGCACCCACCTGTGTTCTGTACCTGGCACAAAGGGCACAGGATCTCTGCTGGGGATTCTGAGCAGCCAATGCCACAGTGCTGGAGGGGCTCAGGGATGCAGCCACAGACCCCCCAGAATATCAGCAGACTGATGGGGGTAGGCTGCTGGTTTTTAATTTTTGAGGTGATTTATTTACTTGGAGATCTTCCATGAAAGTACAAATAGACCCTGGCTTTGAAACTGGTGTGGTGCTAAACCTGCAGGCCTGGCCATTCCTAAATGTGCCTTTCCTCAAGTTAGTGGGTAAGAAAATGGTTCCTCACAGTGACAAGAAATTCTTTGTCAGGTGACTGATTGCAGCTTTGTTCTTTCTCGTTCCAGTGAGCACAAATCTGGATTCTCTTCAAGAATCTTCCCAAAAAATGCCTCTCTTCCACTCCACTGTTTTTTGCTACTACTCTTCCACAGCCTGACCCAGTGCAACTGCACGAAGATCAAATTGTTAGGGGAATGTTGGGCTGAATGAACCATTTCCAGAACCATTTTCTTTTTCTTTCTGTCAGGTCAACTCTGAAAATCTTGAAAAATTTCCATCAGCCTCCCTGCTGCAGCCCTGGCAAGAGAAGCCTGTTGGATGTGACTGGCCTGGGAATGAGGGCTGGTTCAGGCCCCTTTGGTCTGTTCACCTCCAGCAGGGCTTGGGGCAGGGAAATCAGGAGCCAGAGCTCCTGCAGAAATGGAACTGAGCCCCATAAACTCATTTCATGTTGCTCCCCACATGACTGCTAAATAAAATGTGTCATTTGGAGCGTTTCCAGCAGAGACTGGGAAGTGCAGGAGCTGGTTCTGCTTATTCTTAGAATCCAGCACTCACATCCCCAGCCCATGACAATGAACCCAGTCACAGCGAGGTTTGAGTGCAGCACTGGAATGAGTTTGCTTGGCCATAGTAGCTGAATTCTTGGGATTGGGGCAGGGTTTGTACCAGGACACAGCTGGGATATCCCACCCAGCCATGTCCACACTTCTCCTTTTCACAAGGCCAGGCCTCCACACCTGCCTCTCCAAGATTCTGCACTTTAATGGAATTGGAAAAGCAGATGTACAGGAGATCTGTGGAATTCCCCCACAGCTCTGCCTGACCCGAGACAATCTGCCATGAGTGTGACAAAACATCTGCCTGGCCCTAAAAAAGGAGGGAGGGCTGAAAATGCTCAGGCAACACCACACACACCTCCTACTCCTCATTCCCACTCTGTATTCCAGTTCCTTCCTCCCATTTCTGGCTTGTTTGGGATTCTGGGCTTCATTCCCTGCCGGTCCTTGGGGACTGGCTGAAGGCAATGACGGCATATTCCACATGCTGGGGGTTCCTGGGAGCCTGACTCAGTTCCACGTTGCAGTAAAGAGAATCCTCGGGGTTGGGGTGGGATTGCACATCCAGGTTGATGTATGCTGGCCCTTTGCTGTCATCCTGGGAACTTTCCCTCCTCCCAGTGCTGCCAGGCTGGGAAAAGAAAGGGAAAACACTTGTTAGCATGAGTCAGTGCCAGGCCACAGCTGCTGAGATTTTCCCACAAGGAAAGGAGAAAATGTATCAAAATTTACCTCTGGTCATGACAGAGATGAAGGAACAGAGAACTCTCTTCTTCACCACCTCTCCTGGATACAGGTGGAGCCTCATGCTCTGACCCTGCTTGCTACTCCTTGAGTCCCTTCTCAAGGGTTACTAGAATTTGCTCCACTGGGTTTGTTCCTACCGGAGTTTCCTTGCATTAATTACCCCCCTCTGTCTCCAGCTAGGAATATTCCTCTCTCTGCTGCCATTAAATACCATTTCCCTCCTGTTTATAACCAAACTGAGCTCCAAGCTCCTCACCAGCTGGGTCTGACAGTTCCTCCCAGACTGTTGGTCAGGGGTTTGGGAAATGTTTCATTTTCCTTACCTGTGCTGTGCCCTCTGCTCTGTCACTGGTGTCCTCTGCTTCTCTGGTACCTTTAGAATGAGGCAAAATCAGAGAGTTTAGATGTGGAGAAATCCGTGAAAAGCTCTGCCTGAGGAGGTTTGGGAGGGCTGTGGCACTGCCCAGAGATGGGATGTGCCTCTGCCCTGGGCCTGGGGAACACTTTGCTCTCTTTACTCCTCCTCTAAGGTGTTTGCACCCCTGTGCAGGCTCTGGAGGAACCTGGGTTTGATTTGTTCTGAGGAGCCTGCCTTGCCAGCCTGACCTTCTCAGAGCACTGATCTCAGCTGGGGTGCAGGGAGGGAAGGCCCTGCCTGGGACAACCCCAGCTCCACGTACCTGTTCTCAGCAGGAGCCTGGAGTACCTGACAGCCAGGGCTATGGAGGTGAGGAGGGCCAGGAGCAGCAGGATGAGCAGCACCACGGACAGGATGAGGAAGGTGTTCCCACTGCAGCTGGAGGAGAGGAAGGCAGTTACCAGCCTGGGATGGTTCAACAGCCCATCACCAAACAGGGACTAAAAGAGGGACAGGGACAGGTTTTATGTGCTCAGTTCAAGCACTTGGAAGGAGGGTCTGGTTCTTCTGCAAGAGCTCCTGCAGATCCTGCAGGGTCCTCCATCTAGGAGGACTGGGCAAGTCCCTGCTGATTCAGAAGGGAAAAAGAGGCACTGGGGACCTTCCCTGCTTCCTGATTCTTGATTTTTCTGCTTGGCTGTATCTTCTGAGCTTTTCCTAAGCCATTCTCCAGGCTTTAGGAACAAGCCACTGTTCAGAGCTCCAAGCACAATTCCAGGCTCTCTGGAGCAGGGATGATTCTGCTCTTAGGTGCTGCTGTAGCATTGATGACAGCAGATGTACAAAGGGAGAAAAATCCTTCACATTTAACTGGTAAATGGAATAACAGCAGCCAAGGACATCCCATTGTTAAATACTCAGACAGGAGGGAGCAAAGTCCAGGCTGAGGGGCAGAATCTGAGGGTTCTGTTCATGTGAAGTGCAGAAGTGAGAAGATAAAGAAGCAGAGAGGCTCCTGCAGAAGGCTGTGACATGATTTCACCAATCTGTCTCTTCATTTGGAATTAGGGTTAGGGCAGGAGCTGGAGGAGGAGAGGCCACCTTTGGTGAGGATCCTGTCATACCCAATTCCTCTGCAGGTAGGAGGCAGAGTGCCCAGGGCCTGCGTGCCCCAGGTATACAACATGAGTAACTTGTGAGTGCTCAGGCTCAGAGATTCTTAGGCCTTACCTGTCACCCAAAAGAATTTCTTGACTTCGCCTTTCAGAGTCTGGAAAACCTCCCGGAGGCAACGCTGCAATCACAGACGTGAGGAGAGGAATGGTCACGGTGGGGCTGCTCTGCATTCAGCAGTGAAACCCCTGCCCCTGCTGCTCCCATGGCCAGGGCCCTGATCCCCTGAGTTTGTCCAGAGATCCCAGTGTCCCCTCTCATCATCTGCACTGCTTGTTCTTAGTGCTGCAAGAGCCAGACTGCAGCCTGGTGCTGCTCTGCCATGACCAGGGCCTTCAGTGCCTTCCCTCACCATTAAAACATTGTCTGACAGAGACCCCACAAGTCACAGATCTGTAAAATCCGAGTCTAAAGTTGTTCCCTTGACAACCCAATGGAAGGTCTTTGAAAGCCAAAGGATGAATCACTCTAAAGGGGCTATAAAGTCACTCTAAAGAACTGATATCAAACACTGAGTGACAGAACCCCCTCTCAGCACAGCTGGAGCTGCTCCCAGGTTAAGGAGGAGCAGCACAGCACTGATGTGGTTCTGCTCCCATCCCCGCTGCTGTTCCACAGGGTGGTGGCCACGAGGAGATCCAAAGCTGTAGGGTTTGGGCAGGCAAACAGGCAAGGTGGGATGTGGGGTGAGCTGGGCAGTACAGGAGAGAGCAGGGCAGGGAGTCTGGAATCCACAAACGTGTCCTGACAGATCCATACCCACCCTTGGAAACGCTGAGCGTGACCTCCTCCATGCGGAGCAGATCGGAGCCGTCCTGGAGCGCGCACCAGTACACGCCCGAGTCCTGCACCTGCAGCTGCTCCATGGTGACGGTGACAATGCCCTGCTGGGTGTCATCCTGGATCCTGACACCCCCCCGAGCCGTGCTGTTTCCTGCTGGGGACTCTGATCTGGTGGTCACCAGCACGTTGCACATTTTCCCCTCCTTGATTTTGCACCAGGCTTTGCTGACAGCCTGGTAGTCTGCGATCTTGTAGTGACACTGGACAGTGACATTGCCTGACTCCTTGGCTGGGAGCTTCTGGGTCCCTGCAAAACACCCAGGATGTGTGCTGACACCCCAAAGTGGGATCCCACAGTGGGGCACCCCCTCCCCAGCACTGCAATATCCTGGAGCTGCCTCCACCTCCACCCATCCACCTCCACCTGCACATCCACCTCCCCTAAGCAGAAGGGGACTGCACCCAGATTCCCCATGCAGAAATGTCATAAATGTGGGGGTCCTGTCCCCCTCCTCTGGTTCCCTCAGAGTGGGACACTCAGCCCATAGGGTCTGGGAGGGTTGGTGGCTGTGGGGTCAGAGCAAGAGCAATGCCTGGCATGGAGCAGGGTCCCAGCAGCACCCAGTGGGAAGCAGTGCTGCAGCCACATGTCTGGCCCTGTGGGAAGCACTTGGGATGGGCATCCCCATCTGGGGGACCCACAGGAACATCCCCTGAGCCTCTGCTGGGAGCAGACAGAGCATGAAAGGCCAGGCTTGAGCTTTGGCTCGAAGGTGCCAGGGATCAGCTGGCACTGTGCGTGCTGCAGGGAGAGATGGGTGTCACCTGGGCTGAGACCTGCCCACACCCACACCTGGCTGCCAGGAGGGGCTCACTCCTGGGCAGCGAGAGTGCAGTAGGAACTCACTCTTGGACACTGAGTGCAGTAAAATCCCACCCTTGGACACAGAGAACACGGCAGGTACTCACTCTTGAACACAGAGAGCACGATCTCCATTTTCCGGGTGTGCCCAGAGCTCAGTGCACACCAGTACACACCAGAGTCCTGGTTCTTCAGGTTCTTCATGGTGACAACGAGAGCCCCTTGACCATTATACTGCATTGTCACTCTGTCTTGCAGGGATTTCGTTTCACTCTGTTTTGAAGATGTTTGTCTCCTCGCTGGGCCTGTGCAGTCAGTCTGCCCTCGGCACCAGGCCATGCCATACCCCACTGGGCACTGCACTGTCAGGGTGTCCAGCTCCCACCTGAGCAGCTCTGTGAAACACCAAAGGTGGGCACTGCCCAGTCAGTGCTGGGCACAGGGGCACCTGGGACAGACCATGTCCTGGGGCAACTCTCTCTCGGGAGAGCTCCTCAGGGCAGGGGGAGGTGGGGCAGGAGCTGGGAGCCAGCAGGACCAGGCAGGTCTGTGGGGCTCCTTCTCTCCCTGTGGGAGGGAAAGCAGGGAGCGAGGCTGGGGAGGGGGCTGGGGGGACCAGGGGAAGCTGCTCAGCTGTGGGGGAGAGGGGGCAGAGGAGGGGAAGGAGTGATGCTGCTTCCTGACAAGGCTTGGCTTTGGGTGGGGTACAGGTACTCACCCCTGAAAACAATCAGTGAGATCGTCTTTAGCCGTGGATAGTTATTGTAAGAGCTGTAAATAGCACAGAAATATGTGCCTGAGTTCTCTACCTTGAGGTCAGCCATGGTGACAGAAACAGTCTTACTAGTTCTGTTATCCTTTATTTTAATTCTCTCATCACTGGATCGTATGCTGTCTTCAAGGTATGTGTGCAGGACTTCTTGGCATCCTCCATTTCCCCGGGGGAGGCACCAATATTTTATCTGCTGGTCAGTAGTCCACGGTGCATAAGGACACTGGATGTACAGAGTGTCCCCTTCCCGTCGTCTCTGGACTTCTGGGGTTTGGCTTTGGAGACCTGGAAGGATCAGATGTGGTGAGGGAGTGGGGAGCTGATCACAGAACCGCAGAACCACAGAATTACAGCACGACAGAATCACAGAATCAACAAGGTTGGAAAAGACCTTTGAGATCACCAAGCCCAGCCCATGTCCTAACACCAGCCTGTCACCCAGAGCATGGCACTCAGTGCCACATCCAGTCTGTTCTTGAACACCTGCAGGGATGGTGACTCCACCAGCTCCCTGGGCAGCCTTTTCCAATGCCCCATCACCCTTTCTGTGAAGGTGCAGAGCTGCCCACAGCCCCTCGGGGCACACAGGGAAACTCTGCCTCCAGCCTTCTCCCGTGGACACTGGTGGTGGGAAGAACTTCAAAAACCCAAAATCCCTTCCCCATGCTGAATTCACCTGCTTGGAAATGGGAAGGGCAGCGTTGAGATTTGAGCTGGGGATTAAAGCCCACAGGGTGCTCGAGGAGCTGGCCCTTCAAGCCACGTGTGGCACAGTGTCTGCAGCTGTCCCCTTGTCCCTGCTCCTCCCTGCAGGCAGACGGGGACCATGCCCTGCCCACGCCACCCGGGGCCAGGGGCTCTGTTTGGGATGCTGGGGAGGAGCAGAGGGAAGCAGCCAGGGCAGGGAAGCAGCTCTCCCCTGCCACATGCCCAGCCATGCCAGGGCTCCTGGCTGTGAGGCTGTGCTGCCTCTGGGTGCCACGTGCTGGGAGCTCTGTGCTCTCTGCAGGGCTGCTGAGGGACTGGCACTGCCCTGGGCACTGCCCTGACCCAGGACTGCCCTCACAGGAGCTGAGCAGGGAAAGGTGGGAAAGGCTGGCTGGGAGAGGCTCTGTGCTCCCAGCACGGATCATCCTGGAAACCTGGAGGTGCCAGAGAACTGGGGCTGCCCTTCCCTGCCAGCCCTGCAGCACTGCCCAGCTCAGAGCCCAGCTGGTGATGGAGGAGCTCCCGGGGCAGCAGGAAGTGGGGAAGGTTCTCCCTGTCCCCAGGGACACCCCGAGCTCTTCTCCTACCTGGGAAGCAGAGTGGCAGCAGGAACAGGGCTCTCAGCTCCATGGCCACGCTCAGGCCCAGGGAAGGGGCATCACTGGGGGCTGCCCAGCGTGTCCTGTGCCAGCGTGGGTGCCCTCGGCCTCTCCTGCCTGGCAGTGACACAGCTGGGGGGAGAAGTGCCGAGTTCTCACTCTTGCCACAAGCGGAAACACCTCCCCATGTTTTGTTACAAAATTAATATGACAGCAATGTCAGGGTGCTTTTGGGGAAGTGCCTGAGCCCAGAGCACGGCCTGTCCTGGAGCCAAAGGCTGTTGCTGCTCTCGCCTGGCTGCTGGCATCTGTTTTGTCACCCTCCTGTCCCCCCAGCCTGTGGTGAGGTCGATCCACCTGGCTCCTCTTCATCCCTGGCTGGTAGCAGAGAAATGTTCCAGGTTTTGGTGTCACATGAATTCCCTGTAGCTGATTCTGCACCCAGGTGCTTTGCAGGCCTGGGCTCAGCCAGGGCTAACAGAGGCAATGGGGAATGGCTTCTTTCCCTCCTTTCCCTCAGCCTCTCTGAGGAACTCTGCCTCCTACAAACCCACACAAAGCCAGGGCTCCTGTGCAACCCTCCAGGTGAGTCCTGGAGCCGCTGTGTGTGCATCCCTCAACCACAGCCCCCTTTGGTGGCAGCTGCCCCAGCTCCGGGGGCTCCCTCATGATCTTCCACACCTGGTTCTGTCCCCGACAGCTGCTTTGGGAAGCAGGAGAAGGATCAGGTCTGCCTCGAGGCCAAGCTGGCCTTTCTCTCTCTGCATGCTGTGAGGATGCTGGAGAAAGCCTGTGCTGTGCCCTGCTCCCAGACACGCCGTGCTTCCACACTGGGAATTGTATCCCTCATCAGCAGGGCTTGGCTGAGCCTTTCTGCCTCCCTATCACCTCCCTGTGTCCTTCCCTGCCCTTGAAGGAGGAGCAGGGAGCAGAGCAGGGAGCTGCTGTGCCAGCACGGCGTCCCCTGGGCCGGCACCTGCCCCGCTCCAGCAGAGCAGCACACGCAGACTCCACTGACACCCCGGCTGCAAAGAATTTCCAATTATGTGAATAAGCAGCTTATTAACAATACATTCTGGCTAATCATTTTGTGCTAGATATCTCTGCATTGTCTTGTCCCCAAATCCCTCTCTCATCAGGCACTTGATGCTCGGTAACGAGAAGGGGGAACGCGCTCGGGCTCCCGTGAACAAATCCCAGGAGTCTGCAATTAGTTCAGTTGCTGCAACTGGTTGCCTCCAAACGGAGCCAAGAGCTGTTCTTCAGCCCTTCCCATGGTGTTTGGTGCATCCATGGAGGTCCTGCCCGAGGGCAGAGGCTCTGTGGGGCAGGACAGGTCGTGGGGAGATGTCCATCCAGGGCCTGGCATCTTGGAGCAGCAGGAATGTCATGAAGTTGGGTCTTTTGCTGCATCTCTGACAGAGGATCGATATGATTTTAACTCTAGAATCACAGGGAAGAAGATGAATGTTATCTCAGGAGGTCACTTCATCCAGCCCAGTGACACAGCAGGATCAGGCCTGTCCATGGCATTTCTAAAGATCTCTTTAAGCAGTTGGGGTTGCAGCATTTTCCTGTTCCAGTGAGGCACCAGCCCCATCTGAACACTCCCCCCAGCTCTGCCTCTCCCTGCTCTTTGATGCCTTGCTCCACTTGAATGCCTCTGTACCCACTGTGACCTCGGAGATCAGATCATTCCCATTCTCCATTCCTCCCCTCAGTCCTTCCCTTCCAGACTGACTCCAGATGGTTGCATCCCAAATATTTGGATTTTTCCCTCCTCAGCTGTTCTCCTGACAACTCGGACCATTTTCTCCCCCTTTCTCTGAACTCTGTTGTCAATCCACCTCTTCCCTGACTGTCTTCTTGGATTCCCCAAAGCTCCTTTGGAGTGGAGCCATCCCCTTTCTGCTGCCTCCTGGAAACCCTGGAACTGCAGCTGATTGCAGCTGGTTGACTCTGGTTGCTGTCACACCCACGGAAGCTCCTCTGGGTTAGACTTTCCTGAAAATATCGGGGATTTGGGGGTTTTTGGGGTTTTTTTGGGGGGTTTTGGAGCAGAGGGGTCTGCAGTGGCGGAGCGCGGCCGCCAGGGGGCGGGGGAGGCTCAGGAATGAGCCCGAGAGCGCCCCGGGCCGGGGACAGCAGGGACCCCCGGTGCCACCCCCGGTGCCACCCCCAGTGCCACCCTGGGACCCCTGACACAGCCCCCAGTGCCACCCTGGGACAGCAGCGACCCCCGGTGCCACCCCCGGTGCCACCCTGGGACAGCAGCGAGCCCCCGGTGCCACCCCCGGTGCCACCCTGGGACAGCAGCGACCCGCCAGTGCCACTCCCAGTGCCACCCTGGGACAGTAGCGACCCCCGGTGCCACCCCAAGTGCCACTCTGGGACCCCTGACACAGCCCCTAGTGCCACCCTGGGACAGCACCGAGCCCCCAGTGCCACCCCCAGTGCCACCCTGGGACAGCAGCGACCCCGGTGCTACCCCCAGTGCCACCCTGGGACAGCAGCGAGCCCCCGGTGCCACCCTAGGACAGCACTGAGCCCCCAGTGCCACCCTGGGACTGCAGAGCCCCCAGTGCCACCCTGGGACCCCTACCACAGCCCACAATGCCACACTGGGACCGCACCGAGCCCCCAGTGCCACCCTGGGAAAGCACCAAGCCCCCAGTGCCACCCCCAGTGCCACCCCGGGACCCCTGCCACAGCCCCCAGTGCCATCCTGCCATGCCAGGGACCCCTCCCTCAGCCCAGGTGGCTCCAAGCCCTGTCCAGCCTGGCCTGGGACACTCCCAGGGTTCCAGGGGGCCACAGCCCCTGTCACACAGTGTCTGTGGCACTGGGTGATCTTTCACACCCCTTCCAACCCAAACCATTCCACAATTCAGAGATATTCCTGCCTCACCTGCAGTGGGCTTTAAAAAACGCTTCTCCCCAAAACTCCGAGCTGACTGCGGACTGGACACCTGAGTGCTCAGCTGGGGGAGCCCAGCAGACCCTCCCTGGGACATAACCACGAGTTACACCGACACAGAGCAGCCCTCACCCTCACCCAGCTCTGCAGGGGCTTGGGGGAATCGATCCCGAACAACCCTGGGAAAGGAAATCCTGGGATGAGGGAGAACAGGGACACTCTCAGAATTAAAAGGTGGCTCAGGGAGGAGCAGAGGCAGTGAGAGGGGAGCAGGGCTGGGGCAAGCTGGGACCCCCAGGCTGGGTGTGGAGGGGCTGCTGGACACGGGCTGAGGGCTCTGGAGGAGAAGAGGCCCCACAGCAGCAGCAGCTTAGTGAGGGGCCTGGTGTTTGGTCTGTTCCACATCAATGGGGCGTCCAGCTGTGGCTGAGGATGAAAGCAAGAGAGAGAGAGAGAGAGAGGATTAAAGGCTCCCAGGGTCTCCTCTAACCCGCCTAAGACTCGCCAAGAGGGCAGTGTGAGGCTTCAGGAAGGCTTCTTCATATGGAAAATATTATGGGAGGGAGAGAAAGAGGAGGGGGAAGGGAGCAGGGGGAGAGGGAGACTCTGTCCAGAGAGTGCTGGGGGAGGACTGACCACTGAGAGGCTTTTGGAGGCTCGGCCTGAGCCACAAGTGCTGAGCTCTGCTGGTGGGGCACAGGTGAGATGAGTTTGGGAGGCCTGGAGATGGGAGAGACGCTGCAAGAGGAAAGGAAAAGGATGAAAGGAAAGTGGAGAATGGGAGCAAAAGGGAGGAGAGAGGGGAGAGGTGGCAGGGGAGGTGGTGAAAGGCGGGCTGAGGGCTGGCAGGGGATGACAGGCAGCTCTCTGCTCCCTGCTGGGGGGCACAGGTGGGAGCCCCCGCCTGCTGCTCTGCTCCCGGGAATGTTCCAGGGATGGGGAATGAATTTCTACCAGGAGTGAGACATTCTGCGCCGAGCAGCAGCGAGTTTGCAGCGCAGGGTTTCCTGTCAGAGGTGTGGAGCTCTCCTGCCTCTGGGGCAGGATAATCCCAGGAGTTAACACCCAGCCCTGCTTATGGCCAGGATGAGGGACCTTTCCTGCCTCCTGCTCTGGCTGCCACCGTTTCCCTGCTTCCATTCCTGGGATTTTCTGCTCCCCCACGTGTGGCATTCCCGCTCTCACCAGCCATTCCTCCCCCACCACCTCCCACCGCTGGCATCCACAGGCTCCCACTGCACTTCCCTCCTTGATTTATCCTGAATGACCTTCCTCACCCTCATTTCCAGCATGCAGGGTGCTGGGGGAGGGCAGGCTGTCCTCTCCTCGCCAGGGTGGGTGTCCAGCACCCAAATCCACAACACCCTGCACAGCAGGGTCAGGGATATTGGAAGATTTGGGCTGAAAAACAAACACAGCTTTTCCACTTCCACCCCGTGCCATGGGCAGGGAAAACTCCCACCATGCCAGGCTGCTCCAGGCTGGCCTTGGACACTCCCAGGGATGAGGTAGCCCCAGCTGCTCTGGGCACCCTGTGCCAAGGCCTCACCACCCTCATGAGGAGAAATGTCCAACCTGGCCTGGGCTGTGTTCTTGGCCATCACTGCAGCAGCTGAAGGCACTCCAGAAGGTCCAGAAATTCAAAATGCAGAGCTGGGAGATGTGCCCTGAGCCCCCAGTATGGACACACCTGCCAGGTGAGGGGGATTTCTATGACCATGCATGTCCTGGTGCCTTGTGATTCCTCACAGAATGAGTGGATTTTAGGATTTTAACAGAAGAGAGATCGCTTCTCCCTCCTCCCTAGAAAACACTTCTCAGTCTCTGCTCCAGGGTCTGAGGAATTTCAGATGAAAGTCTCAAGGTCTGAAGTGTCAGAGGAGCAGCCACCCCAAAGGTGCTGCTGGGTTTGGGGACAGCAGCTCAGCTCTGATCCTGTTGGGCACTCAGCTGGACCCCACCCCGGCTCCTCTCACATCCCAAAGCTGAGTCTCTTCCACACTTCTCCTAAAGAGCTGGCAAAGCGTTTTGCCCCCTTCCCTGGCCCAGCAGGGCACAAATCCCTTTGCCCCCAGTCTGGAAATGTGCCTTCCTGTCCCTCCCTTCCCTGCCTTCCTGGGGAGCCAGCGTGGATGCGGTGCTGCCTGTCTGAGTTGCTTAGTTAAGAATAATAAACAAATTCCTA